AAATCTAAATTTTGGAGACTATAATTTAACAGTATCCCATTATAGAAGAATACCCTTTGTCTACACAAAGTTAAAGTTGGTCAGCATGCTTTCTGTCATTGAATAAGTCTGGAAGAAAGAGAAAGAGAGGAGAGAAATGGTTGTATAGAAGTTTATATTGGCTCCGCTGTTGGTTAGTTTGGTCTTTGAAGGAAGTGAGCCTGTGAAACCAGAAGCTTAGATGGTTCCAAGTTTTGATTAAACGTCGACATAATCTTGGTGCAATTATAGTCTGAGTGATATACATTATAATAAATACTATAAAGCTGAGTGTCTACTTCTTTTGGGGGTTGAAGGCTCAAGTTGTAGAGGTCTGGCGGAGGGGTGTTAAGGGCTATGAATAGGAGGCATGGTTGAAAAAAACAGAACAGGGGGCTGACTGACAGCTCTATCGGCATGGAGAAGGAAAGAGAGGAAGAAAGATGAAGAAAATTGGAGTAGAGAGGAAACCCCAGGAGGGGGGTTGGTGGGCAGTGGGGAGGGTTACTGAGGAGTTTGCCAAACTTGATTGGTCCGGGAGGAGACAGTAAACGGTTGCGGGTCAGCTGGAGGCAGGCCATCCTGGCAGCAGGCGAGTTGTAACTGTGGTAATGAGCTCAATACGGTATGGATTAAAAAATAAAATGTTTGGAGTGTTACCTTAGCAACAGTGAAGGGACGCGAGGACTCGGATGCCAAGAAGAGAACAGACCAAGCAGAACAAAAAGAGTCGGGTGTCTCTTAAATTTAGAAGCATACATCCAGCAGCAACACTTTGAGAGACCAGCAAAAGCAAACGTGCGTTAAAAGTACTGTGGCAGCACTAATGTGATTTGTTTTTAAGGTAGTTGTTTGCACAGCTTTAATGTTTAAAAGTGATTGTTGCCTATTTTCTCCTATTTTTTTTCCAGTTTAATTCTACAAAGTACAAATGGAGTCCAATTAAAGAGAGGGGGAAAGAAAGTCTGTAATATTGCTCCAAAAGGCAGCAGTCCAGTTTGAAACCAGCAGGCACACAGGCCAAACCTATTTCAATCTTGACTAAACAAAGGAAAGACAGCTCCTTATTGCATTTGCCACAAGAACTTTTAAGAAGACCAAAAGTAGACCAACCACAGGGAATATTTGCAAATTGTGACCCAGATCTGCTGTTAATCTGTAGTTTGGATCATTCTGCCTCTATTGATGCTGTCCCACTCCATTTTCCAAATCCCCAACTCTATTCTGCATTACTTTTCCATTTGGTCTCATCTAATCACCGGGAACATTTCAAACATCTTCACTTCGATTGCAGAGGAATTATGTACTGTAGGACATTGGCCTTCAAATAACAGAAAGTCAAACTGTGACTCATTTTGACTTTTGGGCTCACAGGATGGCTCTCAGGGGACTTGAGATCTTATTCTTGTCTCTACACTCGTTTTCCATCTCCTCCTTTCTATTTTTCTCTGACTCTCTCTCTATCTCCGTCCTTCCCTCCTTCTTTCTTTTCTTTAGTCCTTTGTTAGGCGGTTGCTTCCTGCGGTGAGCATGGCACTGCCCAGGCACATGTTCTGTGGTAGGCCTGATTACAGCCCTGCTGTAGTGCTGACATTGGCCCGCACTGACTCTTGTCTATAAACACACACACACATGCACACGGCCCCTAAGTTCCACCACTGCTGCCAGCGGCTACCGCGGCATGACTTCACCCAGCAACCATTCCTTGCGTCAAACAAAATGCCTCTGTCACCAGAAAAAGGAGGAGAACTGAAAGGGAGGAAGGGAGGGAGGGAAGGAGGAGAAGAGGAGGAGTGTGGATGTATGGTAGCTGTGCGGAGCGTACCATGTTTTCCACTGCAGTTTGAGAGCGTGGTGGGGTAATTTTAGCTGTAAGACTCCAAGGCAAGCTGCTTGTAGGAGTTTTTTGTCTTAGAGGTGGTGACAGATGAGGAGCGTATGATAACGGAAGGTGGGCAAGTCACTGAGGATAAGTACAGCCTTCGAGGTGTTCTGCCTTGCCTATTAGTTTATTACATGAATTAAACCTCATCATCACTTATTTAGTTCAGATTCCATTAAAAAAAGTAAAGCTAAAAGTGCTGGACGTTTCCTTTATGCTAGCTGAACCCAGCAATTAATTTTACTGTCATTACCATCAAAGCCATCGATGGCTGCCCAATTCAAAAGATGGCAGGAAACTTGATCTAGTGGTTAAATCAGGGGTCGGCAACCTTTCTGATGACAAGTGCCATCTAAAATTTCCTCAGAAGTCAGTGTGCCACATGACTGCATTAGCAATAAATTTAATAACGCTCTATATTAACGGTTACACACTATATAGAACCACTTTATAGAATTATATTTGTTCACAGATGTTGGCAGCTATCAGCGAATAGTTATCAGCTGTTTTGAAACAAACAAAAAAAAAGACACTTTTTATCCATAACAAGTACTCCATAACAGCAAATGAATTGTACAACAGAAAATGCAAATGCTATTTATGGTCTCCTCACAACAATGATAAGAAAAATAAACTGGGCCAATATGGCATGTTTGATAATACACATGTTAATCTGATCTCTGGTCTCCCACTCAGAGACACAGGTCTCAGAGTGTCCAGCATTCAGACGGCTACCTGAGGACTCATGTGAGAGAAAATCTGCTCACACAGATATGTAGAGCCAAATACTGTCAATAAGGCCTCTGCAATGTTCTGAAGACGGTTAAACTTGTCAGGTAGTGATGTCCAGCAGGTGAAAATGCAGCTCCATGAACATGCACAGCTGTGGATTCCAGCTGCTTCAATGTTGCATTAACTGGCATTAACTCAGCCAGTTAATGCGAGACAAATCTAGCTGTTCATTAAAGCTTTCTGGTTTGATCAGAAAAGAAACATTGGTCCATACACCTGAAAGTCCTGAAAACGCATTGTGAATTCTGTCTCAAGTCTACAGATGTATCCGTGTATTTCCGTGGTGCTGATGCTGTGCTGAGCGGAAAGCTCCTGAAGCTTCTGAAGTGTTGGAATGTAGAAAGCTAACAACGACCCTCTCACCGATAGGCGAAATGATTTTTAGCCAATTACAAGTTGAATCTGGTACTCTGGGTTGTTAGCTAAGATACCGTCATTAAGAAGCGGCACAACTAATGTGTCTATGTGAACTAATTTGCAATGTGCACTGCTGGCGCGGCCATGTATTTTTTAATGCACCTTCTCAGATTGTCGTGCCCAGGGCTGAACTGGGACAAAAAAATCAGCCCGGGCATTTTGACTAGAGACCGGCCCACCAGGTATTAAAGCCATAAAGCCTTTGAATGAAAACAAATGCTGTTGTGACAGTGATGTACAGTCTTGTCG